TTGTATTCACATTTTTTTTTAAAATCTGCAATCAGTTTATGATAAACGGATTAAATTTTTGCCAGTACAGTCCATTTTTAAGGATTTGGTCACATGTGTGTGTATACTCACGTCATTGTGTTGTTATTATTACGGCATCGTATTGTTATACTTACGTCATCGTGTTGTCATACTTACGTCATCGTGTTATAATACTCACAATCGTGTTGTCATACGAACATCATCGTGTTGTCATACTTACTTTATCGTGTAGTCCTTCTTACGGCGTCGTGTTATCATACCAACGTCATCGTGTAGTCATACTTACGTCTTCATGGTATCATACTTACGTCATCGTGTTGTTATACTTACATGTATGTCATCGTTTTGGCATACGTACGTCATCGTGTTTTTATACTTACGTCATCGTATTGTTATGCTTAGTTCATCGTGTTGTCATACTAACGTCATCGTGTTGTCATACTTACGTCATCGAGTGGTAATAGTGACATCATCGTGTTGCCATACTTTCTTCATCGTGTTGTCATACTTACGTCATCGTGTTGTTAAAGTTATGTTATCGTGATGTTATACTTATGTATGAGAAAATCAATGAATCAATTTCCACTTTTGACGATGAAATTTATGATACATATCCTGTTTGAATTGTTTTACACAAGTCATTTTGGGGCCCTTTATAGCTTGCTGTTCAGTGTGAGCCAAGGCTCCGTGTTGAAGGCCGTACTTTCACCTATAATTGTTTACTTTTACACATTGTGACTTGGATAGAGAGTTGTCTCATTGGCACTCATACCACATCTTCTTATTTCTATATATGAATTGAAGATTGACTAAGTGTTGTGTGTTTAGCGTCCGGTGGCAGAACAAAAGTTTAGAGCCACCTCTAGGCGTTTGAAAATTGAACACATGTTAACAATATGGCAGGACTTGTTGAATAAAAGGCATACATTTAACAGTTTTAAAAACTGCGATTTTTTATAAATGACACGTCCATCTGTATATATGTATATAGTTGAAAAAGATACAGGAATATAAGAGAGTTCCAGGAACGTTGTTGTTTCAATGTGGAGATAGCAAAAGTCGTATCACGTGACATGTTTGTATGTACATCCCTAACGTTTTTTAACACAGGCAAATAAATAATAATTTTAGTAGATTTCCACTTCAACAAGTTAACCACTTACGTCATCGTGTTGTCATACTAATGTCATCGTGTTGTCATCCTTACGTCATCGTGTTGTCATAGTTACGTCATCGTGTTGTTTAAATTACGTCATCGTGTTGTCATAGTTACGTCATCGTGCTGTTTAAGTTACGTTATCGTGTGCTGTTATACTTATGTCGTCGTGTCGTCATACTTATGTCATCGTGTTGTCATTCTTACGTCATCGTGTTGCCATAATTACGTCATCGTTTTAACAACGTTATCTTGTTGTTACACTTTCATCATTGCGTTATTATACTTACGTCATCGTGTTGTCATACTTACGTTATCGAGTGGTCATAGTTAGGTCATCGTGTCGTTACATAAACAAGAAGTTGTTATTCTGATCATTAGTAGAACAAATTGAAAATCTTTTTGGAATCGGTCCTTGTGTGAAATAAATTCAGGGGAAATTGGACAATCATCTTTTCGGATGCGTAATCAGTGCTATTCGCTAAATAATAATGGACATGTTGGCAATTATACTATAACACATTACCTTCACGCTGACATAATTACTTACGACTTTACCTAAGTAAAGAGGAATGGCGTTATTTAGTTTTGTTTCTGTGCTTTAAGGATGTTCGCTTCTCCTGTTTTAGAATTTTTGCCAGATATTCGGAATCCTCTGGTTTTATCCATGTAGTGCTATTAAAAAAATTGCCCGCTAACCCCTAATTTCCTTTTCATAATATTATTACATATAGTTTAAAAAGCCGTATTTAAAAATCTTATAAAATCCTTGTTATTTGTTCATAGTTTTTGAAAGAAAAAAGGTGCCAATGTTAAATGTATGAAAAATTCTATAGAGAATAATTTCCCGTCAAAATTTCAATGGCTTATATATCGTAAACAAGCAAATCGACCCTTAATTTGTTTCTGCTTTTTTAGTTCCTTTATTCATATACTATCATTTTTTAACAGTGTTTTAAAAAGCTTGTTATTTTGAAACAGAGTAGCAAACATCATTGAGTATGATTTTTACATCTACAAATAATACAGGAATTTACAAGAGTCTTTGATCAACTCTGTATCCTGTTATTTAAAAAAAAATTACTAATTTTCATTACATAGACTTAGAAAATAAATAATGTGACTGAGAGAATCTGATTCCTCCTTTGGAAAAACAATTGATACTTACCACTACTGTCAAATATGGGTTGTTCCACTCGTGCATACAATTGTTCTAAATCATATACTATGTGTTGGTTCCTAAACATCAAAAGAAGACCTAAAACTAGGAAAATAATTAAATTTCTCATATTGTTTCACATTTGTTCCTAGTATATATGCAATTGTGTATGAAAAAGAACTCATATCTGCTGTATTGATATATCTTTAATTTATGCAAGAAGATGACCAGTGATGACCACGACACATTAACCGAGTGTGAGAAGTAAACTGGACAATGTAAATCAATGCATCAATTTCCACTTTAGACGAGAAATTCATTATACACATCAATAAAATGAATGCTTTATTGTCGCTTGTTTAGCGTCCACTGGTAGAACAAAAGTTTAGAGCCACCTCAAGGCGTTTAAAATTTGAACACATGTTGAAAATACGACACAAAGCTGGTTGAAATTAAGTGCACATATTTAACGGTTGAACTGTGATTTTTTTTTAAATGACACATCTATCTATCTATATGTATATATATATATGTACTAGAACACACCGGCGACATCGCGGGTCCGTGACTGAATTACAGTACCTACGCCTTATTTTCAGCCTGGATGTTTAGTTATTTTATTGTCATTTGATAAAGTCATGCTGATTATAAGGTGCACATTTTTCCCTTTCTGTTTTAATTCGGCCTGGTTTTCTTACTACAACCGGAAACTACTTGTTGATACATGTTTATTGTTTTGGTCAATGATTGAATTTAGTAGTGTCAATCCTTGTATATATAATGACGAAGTTCGTGTGTAATTATGATCCATGTATATAGCTAATCCAATTTACACCGGTGGAGGTTGAACGTCCAGATTAGGTAACAGGTAACATGTACTATTGGTATCGGTGTTGGATTTGACCTGGAACTTGTTAATTATTGGTAATATTAATATACATTTTCATCAACACCATTGTCCTATATTAGTTATATATGAAGTTGAATTATTTGATTCGTCGTTTTTACATCAAGCGGGCTAAAAAAGTTGGACCTCGTTATTTTAGAAGTATAGATAGTTAAAAAGATATAGGAGATTGAAAAAGTGGTATCACGTGACATTTTTTTTTGCACATCCCTAAAGTGTTTTTAACACGGGCGAGTTAAGACAATGTAATGATTTTAAAAGATTTCCACTTAAAAAAAGTTGACTACGCTTTTCTAGTTCAACCCCCTCACCCTGATGGAAACCTTTTGTATGGTTACATATTCGATATGTAACACAGTTGATGTTTTGATACAGATGATGTTGTATTGATAGATTGTGTGTGTAAAATAAAATCGGAAACGGTAAAACGAACTATCTCGGAAATAAATTATTTGCTCTATCTCGTTTTCAAATTAGTATATGGCATGCATATGCATAATTTGAGAACAGTTTTCAAAATCAATCCACAAAATTCATTAAACAGTTTATCATGTATACATGTATATGAACATAGGTGACGTGTATTACAGTCTTAGACGTAACTTCATAGGGAAGAAACAATCGCTTTTATTATACTTCATGTTCAAATGCTAGATTTTGTTCGGTTTATACGAAGGAGATAATTTACTCGTTCCCATGGCTTCATTTTCCTGACATTAGGTAGCCTCTTGTGTACTCAGGCAAGTAAAGGAAGTCAACTTTGAAGCGCTGTGATTAGATGTTTATGGATATATATATAATATATATTTTATTTTCTATTCATTATTAACTGAAGTGTGTATAATTACAAGATAACTTTTGAAACACATGGAAATATTTTTGGAGTACTCGAAAAAGCTTTCATTTTTCGTTAATTCTATGTAAAATGACGGTGGTCATGGATACTATAAACAAGCTCCGTTCGAAGATGGTCATGCTACCATTTGACTTCAATTTCTAAAACTAAATAATAAAGTTCTAATATTTCGCGTAACTGTTGTGCCCTTGTTTTTATTTTAAAAAGTGGCAAATTTAGAAGGTTAGTATTGTCGCCTGCCCTTGTTTTTATTTTAAAAAGTGGCAAATTTAGAAGGTTAGTATTGTCGCCTATGGAGGAAAAAATACTACCGCTTTCCCTTTTACTCTATTACTCTTCTATTTGCGTTGACGCTTTATCAATTGTGCGCCATATCAAATACGGATTGTTGTAATGTACAAGACGTCATAGTTTATTACTTTTAAATTTTAAAGGTAGTAATAACAGAGAGCATTCAGTAAAATAAATTAAATAGCACAAAGATTAGAGAGTAAGAGAGCTGCAAATTGTTAATTTTTTTGTATATATAATAAAAGAAGGGCGAAAGATACCAGAGGGACATTCAAACTCATAAATCGAATATAAACTGACAACGCCATGGCTAAAATAGAAAAATACAAACAGACAAACAATAGTACACATAACACAACATAGAAAACTACAGACTAAGTAACACGAACCCCACTAAAAACTGGGGGTGATCTCAGGTGCATTAATAATCCAGGAAGCTCTATAGCGTTTAGCCTTAAACTGCCAATCTTTAGTAGCAAGTCTCATATTAAAGGAGTTTAGTTGGTGCCAATAGGAAAGCGTATACGTTTTATAATGTCGTACGTATCAGCTCACTAGTACCTTTACAATTTATATTGGTTATTGTGAAGTTACAATGATAAAGACAAAGTAGATTTTATACAATACATTTAATGTATAAATACAAAAATATATTCATATATGACAGAACGGATGAAAACGAGGCTTTACTAGGTGCATTGTTTAAATTACATGCGTCCTCATTACAACAGGTGGTGCATATCCAGCTACTTCCTGTTTGATCACATGGGTCAGATTCCGAATGTTCTTTTATTTGCAGGTGACACGAGGAATTTTTCGTACAGGTTTTAATTATTGAAAGCTGTTCGCTTACCTCTGTAAAAAAGAAAACAAATAACACATCACTTAATATGTTAAAGTTATGGTAAATGATAACAATTTAGATATGTCGTATCTGCTTCTGAACAAAATATCTACAAGAGAATGAAATACGTAGTATAATCCTCAATGTCTTCTGTTTACTTGTGTTGATCGGTTGCTGACTCATTGAGACATACTCCACATTTCGTCCGTACAAAATAAATAGGACCATTTTTTTACAATATATTTGTTAATAAATTAACGAGTGAAGTAAGTCATCAAATTCACATTAGTAATAGCGAAAAAAACTGACATGATTCGAAGAGGTTTCTAGACACAATACCTCTTACTAATGGAACTTTCGCCAGTTAAAGCAAGGTTAATTATATGTTTCAGCGGGAAAAAAGTATGACAAATAAAAAGTTGGTACAATGTATTGCCCAAACACATAATTAATAGCATCTGGTGATGATTGAATCCCACAACCTGTTCCTGTCGTTCGTGGCTTTTGGCATTACCTACTGTTAAGAAGTCATCGCATTCACTTCTTCATAGTAATAACGTCATTATTTAAATGTATAAGAACTTTAAACGGTAGTGAAAAGAAACTTATTGAACAGACGTTGATATTTGGTTGAAAATAGGTCGCATTGTTTTAATTTAAATTCGTTTACAGATTGCAACGGTGCAGAATTCTTTGATTTCATTCTATTTATTTTAGAAGAAAACAATGTGGTCGATCGTATGTTAGAACTTCTGGCGTTCTCGATCACTAGGTTAGCTTCGGTGAATTCTTATGATTCATAAATTAATAACAGACTTCTCACGTGTTCATGCTTGCTTCGGACCCAGTTAGAATTTAAACAACTGTACCTAGATTGCAATCGTTTAGAGGTATGATTAATCGCACAGTTACGTCCAATTTATCATGCAGGGCCGATTTCCTTTTAATTTATTCCAGATATGGGATATTTTGTTAGAGTTCTTAAATCATATATTGTGAATGGTTAACGCGACAAAAGGTCATAAATTCCACGATAGATGATCTGAAATTGTATTCCTTGATATTTTAGGCTATTTTGTTCTATTCTTTATATTTTAGCACTTCATTATTCTCTATTCTTTGTTTTCTTGGCCCATTTTTCTATATTTTGATTATCTAATCATTTGCCCATTATTCCCTATTCTGTAAACCCCCATCCACACACTCAAAATTGGTAAAAAAAATCCAAAGACAATAACATATTGTATTGTCATTCATTACAAATGCATACATTAAAAGAATTAACGTTGATTTTTCTTGACCGTCACCAGTATACAAAATTTGCAACAAGCAAATTATTAATTGAAGCCGGCAAATCCCTCGAAACAATACCTTATGTTATCTTAATAAATTTCACAGCTGAATTTCATGACTTCTGGTTTACTTCTGATTATTTAACAAAAATATTTAATTTTTTTAAGATAGCTCAAAAGATCAAATTTGAATAATTCAGACAAATGTTGAGCATTTTCCGTTTAGTTAACTATGTCCTTTTATCCAACGCAATCATGGGTTTGAACGTTGTTTTCAATTTAGACCTGTTTATATTTTTCCGTTTGGGCTTGTATTATATTTGCCTTCGGGTTTATATGATCCGCTCAATCTATTTCGACTCTTCAAAATTCAAGAGTCTATCCTAAGTTGAGGTAAATTATATGGCCTTCCAAATACCGTATCGATTCGTAACATCACTGAAGAGACATTAATTGTCGAAATCCGGATATGGTGTACAAATTTTTGCACCTCATGTTTGCGGTATACTATCTTTTCCGCAAGTTTTTTGTTTTCTATTTGGAATTAAATTAATAATTAAGATCCATTTTGTTACATCTGGTGATCCGTTTATTTGGCAATCGCCATGGCAGTCAGCAGTGTTTAAGAACATCCGTTGTTCGACCTGCTAGTCAAATGCGTGTTGTTCAAATATACTTTTTCACTTTTTTGGTCTTTTGGAAAATGTTGTTTGACAATGTGCTGTATTTAGACCCCTCTACCAAGAAATTTGTTTTGCATGCACACCTATAAAAGTTGCGGTGTTTATCCAACGCAATCATAGATTTGAACGTTGTTTTCAATTTAGACTTGTTTATATGCATTATATTTATACTATTACATTATTTAGCGGTACATGTTGTTTTGAAGTCTTTTTGATACAAATTGCAAATTTTACATTACTTTGAATATACCGTTGTTTGACAAGTATCGAATCCTGAATCACATGACTTCAGATTACATTCTATATGCTTAAAAGCTGAGTATGAAACTTTTATCTTACAAATATCGAATCCCAAATCACATGACTTCAGATTATATTCTACGGATTATACCTGGGTATTACACTGTTGTCTGCCAAGTATCGAATCCTGAATCAAATGACTTCAGATTTTATTATACCTCAGTATGACACTGTTGTTTGGCAAGTATCGAAAACTGAATCACATTGTTTTAGATTATATAATACCTGAGTATGATACTGTTGTTAGACAAGTATCGAATCCTGAATCACATGACTTCAGATTTTATTATACCTCAGTATTACACTGTTGTTTGGCAAGTATCGAAAACTGAATCACATTGCTTTAGATTATATCATACCTGAGTATGATACTGTTGTTTGATAAGTATCGAATCCTGTATCACAAGACTTCAGATTATATTCTGTATGATCATTTATACCTGAGTATGACTTAGCCGTCTTACAGGTATCGAATCCTGAAATACATGACTTCAGATTATATCATACCTGAGTATGACACCGTCGTCTGACAAGTATCGAATCCTGAATCACATGACTTCAGATTATATTATACATGAGAATGACACCGTCGTCTGACAAGTATAGAATCCTGAATCACATTACTTTAGATAATATGATACCTGAGTATGACACTGTCGTCTGATAAGTATTGAATCCTGCATCACACTGCTTCAGATTATATTAAACCTGAGTATGACACTGTCGTCCGACAAGTATCGAATCCTGAATCACATTGCTTTAGATAATATTATACCTGAGTATGACACCTTCGTCTGACAAGTATCGAATCCTGAATCATATAATTTTGCTTCAGATTATATCATACCTGAGTATGACACCTTCGTCTGACAAGTATCGAATCCTGAATCACATTGCTTCAGATAATATAAATTATACATGAGTATGACACTGTCGTCTGACAAGTATTGAATCTCGCATCACATTGCTTCAGATTATATTATACCTGAGTAAGACACTGTCGACGGACAAGTATCAAATCATTAATCACATTGCTTTAGATTATATTTACCTGAGTATGACACCGTCGTCTGACAAGTATCGAATCCTGAATCACATTGCTTCAGATTATATTCTCCTACACACAGAAAGTTGTTTCGTTCATTTTCACATTTATAACACATAAGTCCATGGCTTTCTGAAAAAAAAACGATAATATTACTGCTACTGTCAATTAATCAATTTAGTTTTGAAGCATGGGAGATAACTCTCATTGTTCTTACTTGAATAACAGAGTTCTCCTTTCAAGCAGTAAAGATGTGAGTTAAAACATGTTTGATCTCCACGTGGGGAATGATTTATGAACATATGATCTATATAAATACAATACAATAACAGCCTTTGTATAAGGTCGACACGTGGATATATCGATCAAAAAGGAAGTATGTCGACTAAAGACGAATCAGAACGTTTTGTTTTTTTTTCTTTGTGTACACACTATAAATATTATTACCCACAATACAATACTGCGATTCGGAAACTGTAATAAATTCATTTTTTTGTATCGTTGAGTTGCTGTCTTTTCGAAATTTACCTTACATATCCCTTTATTGAAATTGGGTTTGTTAGACCCCTTTTACACTTGTACGAATTTGAACCGATCTTTATTTGAATCGATCTTAGAGAGACCAGTTCGATTAACATATGCACAAGCAAGATCGATCGAAATCGATCTTATTTAATCTAGTGCGTTTACACTGCAACTTAAAAAGAACCGGTTTGTCCTATTTACTTTACATTTCGTAAACAAATAATGGTAAAAAAAGAATAGTAGAAAAACGTGTGCATTTCGCGCGGTCAATGACACATTGCAAAACGCATGTAGAAAATAGTTAGATCATTGGGATTTTGTATGCAAATATTAAATATCTTTTTGGTTCATACGTCAGAAGATGAGGTTTTGCAGCTAAGAAATAGAATTTATCGATTGAGAAGAATGATCCAACAACGGTAGAATCTATGTTTACTTTTATTATCCCATCCATCGTTTTTTAGAACACGTGTGTTTTTGTCGCCGAATGTGCGCAGATTTATTTTCATATCCAATTAAATATAACATTCAACTGAAGAAAGATCGATCACGATCGATCCAAGCGTTTACACTTGAAGAAAGATCGATTCAAATAAGATCGATCTTTTTAAAACCAACTCTGAAGTTTACAAGTGTAAAAGGGGTCTTTGTAAAGTTAACTAGTATACAATATTACATATATCTATACTCATACAATAGATAAAAGAAAATTTTATTAAAAAAAAAGTCACATGCTAGTTAAACTCAATTTGCGATAGTACATTTTACGTTTTACGTAGACCAAACTTAAAATACAATACACATATCTCACATTAGACACCAATTCAACGGAAATAATAGACATATGTTTGATTTGTCGATCTTAATAGCAACAAACGATTATGTTTTATTTCTGTCAGTGGACGTCACCGTCACATGATCTCATCTTATTTTACCCATCAATCATTTATTTTGATAGCTTACAACTACAGCATGTATTCCCTGTGGAGCCTCATCGTGACACGGGCAATTAAGACGTAGAGCGTTGAAGCTTACGTTATGTGTTATATTCAATTACCTAACTGTTACAAGTTATGTAAAACCACAAAGGACTATATTCCAAAGAATTACTGTCAAACTAATCTAATTTTAGATTTAATTGTCAATAACATTAAAGAAACTGAAGCATTCATCCCCCGATATGTCATTTGAATTTCTTAACGTTATTTATTGAGATTTCTTAAGAAGTAACGATTTCTTGTATGGAAAGAATACTTCTTTCTTTATTGATGATATAACTATGTAGGAATCTGATAGTAGTAGTTCTTCTGCTAGCTGAAATTTACCTACAGATGTATTTTAAAATATCGAAATCAAAACTGAGCTTGACTAATTTTTTTTAATGTAAAATAAGTTCAAGTATTATTAATTATGATGATTATGAAAGAAAAACAAAAAAGAGAAAGGGCATGTCCTATCTATACAGGGACGGACCCATAACTTTTGAAAGGGGACTTGAACTGCATAAAACGTAATAGATACTGCCGAGCTGAGCAAGGCGGAATGTTTTTTTTGACAATTATGTGCTAAAATATCCTAAAAATCGTGAGAAAAAAAAATTGTGTCACAAGGGGACGAACGCCATCAACGCCTTATCCTGCATACGCCTCTGTAATAGGATAACTGTATCACATGGGACTTTTAAAAGGTTTTTTGGTCCCCCTATCGGACCACTCCACTGTGGACAGGTGAAAATGTACTGTGGTATTGTATTCAAATTTGTCTTTATCAACATTTTAAAATTTTAACACAATACATGTATATATATATATATACGTGGCAATCTCCTAATCGTCTGCATGTTTGTCTTTCCGTCTTGTCGTTTTTGAAGTTGTTTAGTCATGGTGTTTTCGGTTTCTATTTGACTTATGACTTTTTATTGTACTTTTGGTTACTCTCTCGATCACCCCTGTTTACGCATTGTTTTCGGTTTCTATTCGTCTTATGATTTTTGATTGTCCCTTTGGTATCTCTCTCGCCTTTTCTATCGCATATATATTCAGAATGGAATATTAAACTAAAGGATTTAGATCAGACCGCGTAACAAAGTTAGTGTCATGGACACTTAACAGCTGTAATTGATTCGGATATATTTGTCAATGTTTAACCCGTTGATAATAAGTATCTTTACAACATAAAACAATGAACTCTTCCGAAAACGATCGGTTGTACATGTAAATGACAAAGACTCGATTTAAGAATTAAATTATTCATATTCACGGACATCAACTTTGACCTTCCGTTAACTTTTAAAAACAAGGTTTAAGAAGACATTTAGCTGACGATTATATTATGTATTGTTTGCTGACATACATTGTTAAGTCTGTATTTCCTCCAATCGTCGAAATATAAAACACATATAAAGAGACAAAAAAAAGAGACAATGAAAAACGTTCTCGATAACGCGTAAGAACTTTAAAAGAGACGAATTGCGCATCAGTAAATTGGGTAATGTTAATGTTATTGGATTGGTTTCGTGGAACAATAACTCTATAAATAGTTGACCTAATTCTTTGTTTAAAAAAAAATAGGAGTTTTGTCTTACAACTGTTCAGCTCTGATTCTGAATAAAAAATCAATGTTTTGTCGATCCTTATATAAGGAGCATGCGCAACCAACGTTGTTTTTTGTTTTGTTTTGGTTTTGTTACATTCATAAGTAACGAACACGTAGGATTTATTAAGCAATAGCTGAAAATCTATTATTTATAATTTTGTGGAAAAGACGAGTCACCCTGTTGAAACATTTTACAATTTGTTTCTTTATCAACAAAAAGTGTGCTTCTATATGCTCCAAATGTATGTGAATTAGTATTGTAAAAGCGACCAGTCGAACTGGTATCGGACTTTTCAATTTGTTTCTGTATGCTCCAAATGTATATGAATTAGTATTGTGAAAGAGACCAGTAGAAATATTGTAGGACTTTACTATTAACATGATTAACGCCTCAAATGTTTGTGAATTAAGATCGTGAAAAGAAACGGATCAGTCAAATGTTGATGGTTTTAACAATTTGAATAGCTAAAACATGCCTACATGTTTGTTTTTACAATATGCTTCGCAAAAAGACAAAAAGGTTAGAAGTAGCATTGAAAAAGATAACTGCCGACTGCTTACAACATTTTAAAATGTACTACTATATGCTCAAAATGCATCCGAATTAACATGGTGCAACAGACCATTAGAACTGTTGAAACATGTACACATTTTTTTTAGAGGCCAGCTGAAGCCCGCATACGGTGCGGGTCTGTGTTGAAGATCCATTGATGGCCTGGGGCTGTTTTCTGCTCTTTGATCGGGTTGTTGTATCTTTGACATATTCCCCATTTCCATTCTCAATGTTATCATTTGTTTCTCTTCCGCAAAAGCATCTAAGTAGAAATTATGGAGGAGATTAGCTGATCTGTTGCAGCATTTTCCAATTTGCTACTATATATAAACAAAAAGTATACGAATTACTATTGTGGAAGAAATCAAGTTGACTCTTCTCTAGGGAGGTTTTCAAATAATGAAAATGTCAGATACGTCTCATTACCAGCTTTCACCAGACGTTGTCTTCAATTATATAGATTTATTACGGTAGAAGAAAACAAAATGTAGCATTTCATTGAGAGATGAAACAAGGAAAATAGAATCGATTGAAACATTTTCTAAGCGGAATGTGCCTAGAATTTCTTCTTTGATTGCAACTAATGCACCGATATTAAGGTGTAACTATGTAAATGCTCTTTTGTTCCGACGTTGGAAAGTTCCGAGCGGAAAGAACAAATAGCCGAAAAGTTCCGGAGGAACTTATTAACTAGTTACTTTATTCTTCCTCTGGTTTAAAAGTTCCACCGGAACAAAATGACTAGTTGAAAAGTACCAACGGAACATATCTACTAGTTAGAAAGTTCCATTTTGCCAAATTAGTCAAAACCGGAACTAACAAACTAGCCCAAAAGTTCCAACAGAACTTATCAACCAGGCAGAAAGTTCCATTTGGAGAATTGATGCAAAGTAAAAAGGGCAACATATTATATTTGAACCTTTCAAAGAGAAACCAAGATACTGAATATACCATATTTCGTCCTTTTTGTAGAAAGAGGGGGAAGAATGAGTATCAGTATATATAAGAGCAAATCATTAATTTACAAGAATACCCAACGCACTGAAAGGGGTTTCTTTGGGGACAAATATGCAAAATTTAAGTTGTATTTCATAGCGCAGATAAAACGGAATAAGTTGCATTATCATGCAAATTTAGTATTCATAGTATCCTCAAGAGATGGAAGAATACCCCCCTCCTCATGTGGTTCTTTGCATCAATTCTCCAAATGGAACTTTGTGACTGGTTGATAAGTTCCGTTGGAACTTTTGGGCTAGTTTGTTAGTTCCGGTTTTGACTTATTTGCCAAAGAGGAACTGTGTGGCTAGTTGATAAGTTCCTTTTTCCGGAACTTTTCGACTGCACTCGGATTAAAACAACTAGTTGGAAAGTTCCATCGGAACGAAATAACTAGTTGAAAAGTTCCGCCGGAACAAAGTAACTGACGGAACATAGTGGCTGTTACAACTACACATGGTCCACCAATATAATAGAACATTTTACTGTCAATTCTGCTAATCAAAAGTG